TATCTAGGATACGGAGGGAAAGTTGCGGTTTGGCGAGATGGCCTTGGATTTGGACCGTGGCTTGCATATTGTGCCTCTTTCTAGCTCTTGAGAAGTGCATAAGCTGGTACCTTTCCGGAACAAATTTGACAACATTTCGGTCGGCCTACTTTTCACTAATCCAATGAAGTCTTTCGAGGTTTCGGCAATTTTCTTCTGTAGAATCGGACCAGATCAGTATGTTAGTATCGTCCATAAATCCTACAGCCGTCGAGGACGGCGACTGAAGTTCGGGAAGAAGCGTGCCGACAAAGAACAGGAAGAGAATCGGCGAAAGAGAACGGCCTTGAGGAATCCCAGTACTGGTAGGAAACTGTTCTCCTCTGAATGAACCAAGGTTTATCGACGTAGTTCTATCCTCTCGAAATGATTCGATATAAAGCGTCATCCATCTAGGTATACATTTAACCCTCATTTTGTGGATAAGTCTCTCATGAGATACTGTTAGACACTGAGGGTCAAATAAAAAACGTGAAGTAAAGTTGTATTGATGAAATCTCTGCCCCTCAACTCCTCTCCAGCAGTGATGCTATATACCCATCTGAAACTATTTCGAGGAGAGATTATCTTCTCCTCGTTTCCCAAAATTACATATGACATATATTACATGTGTTGAAGATCAAAAGATCTCAAGTTGGAGCTTTGACTATCCTGATCATCCTGATCACCATATCCCTTGTGAGATATCAAAGCTCGAGTTAGTTAATCCGACAAGATGTGTCATCCCACTATCCAATGATTCTCATTACCATATTCAGTAGGTTCCAAAATATCAGATGTTTGACAGATACATTGTCGAAAGCTTCGGGTATATCTAGGCTGAGTAGGGAAGCAACTCTGCTTTTGTTCTTTTCCCATATTGAGTGTACTTGTTCTGTAATAAGTCCCACTGCGGAGATCGTAGATCTCAGTTTTCGGGCTCCCATCTGTTCATCAGGAAGTAGATGATGCGCTTCGGCTGCTTTCGATAATCTGCTGGCCACAGGCTTCTCGAAGACGTTTCCCAAGGTATTCAGGAGCGCAATTAGTCGGTATGATTTAGGGTTATCACACGACTCCTTTTGTGGCTTTCGCAGCACAGTTGTGACCGACTCTTTGAACCCTTTTGGGTGGTAACCGATGGAGATACAAGCGTTGAAAAGTTTCCCGAGGACCTTGCCTAGGGTTACTTGACAGTTTTTAAGCATCCAATTCGGAATACCATCTGGGCCAGGAGCTTTCTCGCTCGCTAGGTTTACCATAGTATCCTGGAACTCACTTTCGGTGACGTTGTTAGATATTGTGGTTAGTTCTTCTGGATATCTTCTCCCTCCTATATCTTCCAGATTAGCTTGATTAGGCTGAGCAAAGAGGTGTTACGCCAGTATTTCCGCTTTTTCGGTGTCTTCGGTATGGATGTTTCCATCTTTATCTTTGATTTCGGATAGTTGCGGATGTCGTGACCGCTCTTCCGGACTTTTCTTAGCCCACTTGGCAAGCTTCCACAGCTTAGCTTAATCGTTAGTGGCCTCAGAGACTATAGCTCTACATCTAATCATTTTTGCCTTTTTAATCTAGCTTTTCTTTCTATTACTACACTCAACTTTCCTCGGAGCCCATCTTGGTCCACACTCTCCTTGCCTTGTGTCGATCAAATAGACTCAGTCAGGATTTTTGAGAGAAGAAGTTCTTGTGCGTCTCCCTCAAGCTGGGTCTCATCTCTATGTATATACATCACATCCCCCAAACTCCGATTTCACCCTTTGTCCTTAATCTAGACTGCTTGACTTTTGATTGCTTTGAAAATGCCGACCCCATGTCAGGAACTAATGACATTATCTCTCTTTGATCGGAGTTCCCAAAGCCGACTCGGCCTCCTGTAAATACCGTCTCACTTCCCGGTTTCCACTAACTCCGATACATAACTCAAGTGAATACTACCTTGCAAATTTACCAGAATAAATAATCATAAATTCACTAACATGTTACCCAAAAAAAAGGAAATTCTGCTCAACACCTTTCGAGCTTCTTTTAACGCCTCACTACATTCCTTAGTCCAGTACGGTTTGGCGAAAGTGGACAGCCTGGTAGTGGGTATCGCTTCCTTTATGGCCTGCGTAATCGCACTTAATCTCTGGTAGAGGGAGTCCGAGAAGTTCAGCTCTAGGCGGTTTGTCGAAAGCCTACTTAGCTTCAAAGCGAGTCTTCGATTAACTTCTTCCCAATCTGCTTTTTTCCATTGTGGTCGAGGCTGCTGTTGTACCTGAGTTATCGACTCGACTTGAATCTATGTAATGAAAGGAATATGATCCGACGAGGCTTCGGGGTCTACGGCTGGTTTCCATGCTGTAACAGAATTTACGAGGCTATTAGACATAGATGACAGGTCCAGCGTACTCTGGCTTCCCCTACTTCTCCGGGTAATAAGGCCTTTTAGGAGAATGAGACCTATTTCGTGTGTTCCAATTGTTTCAATGAGATTTCTTCCATTTTTTGGTGTCTTAATACTGCTTGTCCCCCCATTTCGGGTGATGGGGGTTGAAGTCTCCGACTAGAATGTGGTCCCCAGCTTGGGATAACATTTCCGGGAGCCAGCTGAGCGATCCTTGGTCTAGGCGGCTGTGAGACGTTGGAGGAGGGTTATATATGTTATGGATCCAGATTTTGCCACGACCATTGTCAAGGCTGATGGATGTGGTATCTCCTTGGGATCCCTCTGGACCATTTTCTTTTCTCCATTTACTACTATCCAGGCTTTTACTTATATAGATACATGTCCTGACCTTTTGGTCACCTGGAAACACCAGGTGGTAGGCATGGCAGGTGACAGTCGTGTTTTCTGTCGGATGACGCCATGGTTCCTTTGAGGCCACGATGTGGTGTTTCAGTGGATTTAAGGCTTGAAAGAAATGGTTCTGCATTTTGTTTTTGATCCTGTTGACGTTGTACTGTCCAAAAGTCAGGATTGGTGTGTCCTTCATTGTTACATTTCGCTTTCAGTCTTATTCGCTGGTATCTCCCGTGTCATAGTCCGGGTAACAAATTTGTTTGGTAGTGTTGCAGTGTTTGCGAAGAGATCTTGCACGCTAGTAACCACAAAGAGACCTTTGAATGAACTGCCAGGGCGTCTAGGTTCAATACGGTCGGCCCCAACTAGTGGAACTGTCAAGGCTGACCTTCTCTTTCAGCTTCCTGCGATTTGCCATGCGTCGTCTCGGTTTATTGTGCTTTTCTATCCAGTGACAAATTTGCATGACTCTGTTTTTTGCTGCTACTTTGACTGAACACCTCTGGTCCGATGTTTTGTGTCCCTTTCCACAATTACGTGTGTTGTGCTCTCCTGCACAGTGACTGCATTTTGATTCCGCGGCACACATTTTCGCAATGTGTCCGTACTTTTGGCAGTTGAAACATTGAATCATGCGGACAACTGTCCTGAATATTTCGGTTGCCTTGAGTTCGTATTGCCACATAAGCCCCTTTGTTATTGCCATGTCTGCTTGTTCGGCCTGTGCAATCCACAGGATTGTTGACCATGCTTTTTTCCCCTGTTGTTGGTTTTTCTTTAGCCATGCGGCTCTTTGAATGACCATGACCTGAATATACACGTCGTTGGGTTTCTGGAGCGATTTTAAGTGCTCCGGATTTTCTGGCTCAAAGGAGAGCGGCATGTCATGAACAAAAACCTAGTGTATGGGATCGGCGACTTGCGCCGATGGTGCAAGCTTTGTTGTCCAGTACTTGTGCTGTTCCAAGAATTCCTTGTACTTTCTCCTGCAAAGTAGATTTTGACTTGGCCTTTCGTCATTTGTTTCGCTCCGACTATTTGTTGAAGACCTATCATTTTCACCAATTCTTCGCTCAAAAGTTTGGCTATTTCTTTTTTCCCCCGTTTGTCTTGAATGCGGATTATGGTTCCGGATGGTTCTACTTCACTGACCACGTTTGCCCACGAGCGTCCTTGCGTCTGTGTCGGTGATTGATTCTATGAGATATTTGTCTTTAACCCTCATCTCCTGGAGAATCTGAGCCATTGCAGAGATTTCAATATTGGGGGTTGTTGGTGAGGGTAGAGGGGGAGAAACTTTCGTTTTCTGAAGTCTTTCTATCACTGGATTACTTCAATAATTCTCTTGTAAGCTCAACTAGATAGCTCTTCGCCATTAGTCGCATCCTTGAATTATTTTAGGGACGCGTTCACGTCGTTTGGTGCTTTCGACGCGTCGTTACTACCTCTCTGGCCCGCGCAAGACGTTTCGCTATTAGATTCTCTCGTAGTGTTAATCTTCATCTCTATCGCCATAGACTATCAACCTTCAGGATGCAAATCTCTGGGTTCGACTTTTCTGAATGCGGATGTTTTTGATTCGATATTGGGGGGGTAATTTTTTGCATCAGATTTGAATTGCGTATGCAGCTATCTAGCTATGACACAATATCAAAGAAAAGTTCAGAATAGATAATTCAACGTAAAGGAAGAGCACTCATGCCTCAGATTTCATTTGCAAGTACCATTGCGAAGTTATGGTGGCTTTTTCTTCACCCCAAGTCAACCCTCATCCGTAAATACCCACCGAGGGAAACGTCTCAAAAACTCCGAGTCATCCAGACATGTCTCCATCATCTTTCAACTTATCTCCGCGCGAAATATGGTCTGAGGCGTCTCCTTCCCAAGTGAAGTAGGTGCCCAGGCTACTCAGACTATACTGGAGAACACCATCAAGAGGCGGAACACAACACCTTCCATCGTTTGCTTGTTTTTATAGTGTCAGCTGCACTCTGATGTTGGGTTATTCATGTCAGGTAAAAGGTTTCAAATTCGTACACTGAATATTGAGACGGCGGTGGTCAGAGCGTAATAATCTGAAGGGGTATTTCCTTGGCGTCTCGACGTACCCCATCTGAATTATTTTAAATATGGAAACTTCTGTAACCGCACCTCAAGAAAAAGACCGTCCGCAAAGAAATAAAAATTGAGTACGATGGTCAATCTCCAGTCTGAAAAACACATCGATGAACCAGCATTCAAGCGGCAAAAGATCTCACAAGCTACGGCGAAGGACATTAAGCCACAATGCAACGATTACTGCTTGTACGAGTTAATAGAAGCTCTTCAAAGCAAAGACTCGGAACCCAGCCGCATAAAGACACAATCTGACCGTGAAGCTGTAGTTGGTATCCATCACTACGTAAACCCTTCTCGCATTGGGTTCTCCGGCTTACTAAAGAAAAGGTATGTAGAAATAGCCATAGTTTTGGACATTTGCCTTGGGTTTTTGTTTACTTATTGTTCTTTGTTCACTAGTTGGTTGATTCTATATTTGTAGTATTGAATGATATGAAAATCAGAGCAGACAAGGTTTTTACTTTGCAAAATTGGAATATGTTGCCGTAATTTGTACCCGATGCCAGCATTCACGATGCAACGCTAAAATTTTGCCCTACCGCAATTTTTAAAAGATTTGTTTACTGTACTGGTTGGGATGAGGATCCTCTCTGACAAACATCTAGATACACCGACTTTATTGTCAATGAAATAGCGCTTGACGGTACAGTTCACCATTTAACTGATATAAAAACGTTTGTTCCTGAAGATCCAATAAGCAAAGTAAGTACTCTACATATATTTTAGAATTAAATCCAATTGAGGCTCTTCTTATCACCAGACCAAAAATTTGCAATCTTCAATTTTATCTTATGGTAAATCACTTGATTGGTTATCTCAACTATTATACTTTCACAAGATAACTGGATTATTTGAATAATACCGGAACAAACCTTAGCTCATTTATTTCAGGGTAATGAAACGGAAAGCATTTCAGTACAACTTAAACCCCAGCAATCTAACTCTTTTCCGGAACATCATCCATTATCAGGATCAGGCGAAAGCAAACAGACGGAGACTACTACTTCAAATATCGCGAATGTATCAGAGACCCAAACCTCAGGTGTTTCTGTCGAACAACCATCCTATACCGATGAGGATCTATCTCATCTTAATGAACTCGTTGGCTCGGAAACTACCGATGAGATTTTAAAACTTGATCAACGAATTCTCGCAAAGCCTGGTGCAAAGGCTAAAGTTGTCGGTCATGTCCTGACACCTCCTATAACTGATCGCCAAATTAGATCCAAACTCCATCAATCGCTACGTCGTATTTTCCAGAGCCGCTTTGAGAGCTCTTTTGACGGCGAAAGCAAAGGTATTCGAATTATTCCTGCTTCAAAATCAAATCGATGTAACCCAGACAAAAGAAGAGAAAATCGCGACAGTGAAAAACAACTCAAAGGCAAAATTGGATGGGAGGAAAGAGGCGGTGAATATCTTCATTTTACTCTTTTCAAACAGGATAGAGATACTATGGAAGTAATTTCTCAGATAGCTCGGTTCCTTAAAGTCAAACCCAATGTGTTTTCCTATGCGGGTACAAAAGATCGTCGAGCTGTAACTACTCAGCGTGTTAGCTCTTATAGGCTCACTCCTAAAGCCCTTTCAAAAGTTAATAATAATGTATACAACATATCTGTCGGCAACTTTAAGTACGAAAAGCAACCTTTAGAGCTGGGCGAATTAAAAGGAAATCGGTTCACAATTTCACTTCGTGAAGTCCGAATTGATGGCTATAATGAAAAGGACATTGTAGAACTTCATAAGAAAGTCAGACAAATTGTGGGTGCCGCTTGTAATAGTGTTGCATCTTCCGGATTCATCAATTACTACGGTCTACAACGCTTTGGCACCTTCGAGATAGGAACACACATCATTGGGCGATTAATTTTGCAAGGCAATTTTCCCCAGGCAGTCAGTAGTATTCTGCACTGTAGCTCCGACTCGTGGAACCAGGCTATTCAAGGTTCAGGAGACTCTAATGACGGAAAATCTTTGGGTAAGGATGAGCTGAATCGGGCAAAATCAATTAAGGGCTTCATCCGTGGCGAAATAAAACTAGAAGAGACTCTGAACAATCTCCCGCGTCGATTTACCGCTGAACGTAATATTTTACAGCACTTAAAGGATCGGAAATCTCGAGATTTTCTAGGCGCTCTTCTTAGCGTGCCTAGAAACCTAAGGTTGATGTACGTTCATGCTTATCAATCATATATTTGGAACTTAGTGGCTAGTGAGAGATGGGCTCGATACGGAAGCCAAGTTGTCGCAGGTGACCTTGTTCTGGTTGATCTACCGAAAAATAATCCCTCAAACGAAGCAAAATATGATGAGAGTGGCGAGATTATAGTTCGACCTGCGGCTCATGATATATGCCTTACCCGGGACGCTATTTATGAGCGCGCTCGACCTCTTTCATCTGATGATATTTCAACCCAGAAATACAACATTTTTGATATAGTTTTGCCTCTTCCAGGGTTTGATGTAGAGTACCCTGCCAATGACATTGGAGACTATTATAAAACTTTGATGGGTAGCGAAGAGGGTGGTGGCCTCGACCCGGCCGACATGCGACGAAAGCAAAAAGATTTTAGTCTCAGTGGTAGTTATCGTAAATTATTGGCCCATGTCAATTATATTCAATTTTCAAGTAAAATTTATCATGATGGAAATGAGCAGCTTGCTGCTACCGATATGGATAAATTATCAGAAAGATGCAAAGATGACAAAAATCTTGAAGTCAAAAAACTTAGCTGTCCAACTCAAGAACATACTACTCCGGATGGTGCTAGAATAAAGTTGTCTCGTACTTCCTTTAACCCAAGCTCATGTAGTATGTTGGAATCTTCGGATAAAGTAGGGGCACTAAGTTCAGACCAAACAACATTAACCTCGCAGGACACTCCTACGATCAGTCCTCATTCTGAATCCAAAAAGTTGGTCGAAGCCCCTCAAAACGATTTACTAGCATCATCCAATATGACTGCCGAATACTTAGCAGCAGAATTAGCACCAAGAGCTACAGTAGAAGGCACCAATCTTGGAATTATACTCGAATTTGATCTTTCATCAAGTCAGTATGCTACGATGCTTTTGCGCGAGATAATGGGATCCGATAACGTCCATCATTTTCAGCCTGACTTTGGACCTAACAAGAAGCTATAAAGAAATTGACTTTAATGATCTTAACTTAGACAGTATAAATAGAAAATATAGAATATGACTTTTAGACTCTAACCTGAAATAAAAGTTTTTTAAACATTCAGAACTCCCAATTACAAGATCCGTGCTAGATAGGTCTAACAATCTGTTCGATTTAAGCTCGCATGAGACGAGAATAGGGCAGACTGACTCAGACCTCAAAATATTCATCACAACTTTATGTCTATTCCACCTTCAAATCTACTTAATTTTAGAATTGCGATAAGTCTGGTCGTTCACTGAATACTGATTTAAATCGTTATGCCAAATACCCAAACTTTATCATAACGCATCCATGGCCTCGATACTACTGTAAACTGTAAATTTATTTACCGAATTTCAGTATCGTCCCAACCTGGGACTTAAATAAAAAGAAGTTGGCTTACTATCGGCAGTCTAAACTTTTATACTTCGTAGTGAATCTGCATCTGTCATCCGAATGTTATTCCTTGAAACCAGAATCTGACTCTACAAATAAACTCCTAACAAGGATCTGCATTGGTAGGCTGCGGAATTGGTAGTAGTCACTCAATTTTTCCGTAGTAGGAAAATCAGTGTGGATTGATACTTGTACTCAATTTATCAAGCACAATTCATACAAAATTATAATCATGTAGATCAAGCTTACTGTACTCTATCTACAATTAAGATTAGACCTCAAGAATTTACAAACCTCAGGGATCGAGTCTCTCGGTCAAAGGTCGGTTAGAAAAAAAATGGAATCTACGGTTAGTACTTGGTCCTTTATCTTATTGTCTGAGGCCATAGTGACAAGTGTAGATCCTCAGTCCCTTTTGAAATTGTACGCACGGCGAATTTTGCTCTTTCAGCACTCCAGTTTACGTGAACACGCATGAGACGGACTGAATCCTATTAAATTCCAATGGGAAAATAAACTCGTATCTACATCAACGACTATGATCAAGATTAACCGAATGCAAATGTGGAAGTATAACAAGCCCAGTAGCGCAAATTTTTGAAAACGAACTAACACATTACAAAAGTTTACGCCTAATTTTCTTGCCCGTGCTGCTCTCTGCTTCAGCAATCACCCACTATCCTACATCATTAATTGATCAATACTTGCCAAGGCTTTCTGCTCGAAAATCCAAACTTGGTATGCCGCACCTCTCATGCCAACTCTAGCTTTAAGCATACACGGCTATATAGATCGCAATACCTTGATCATAGTTTATGAAAAATTATAAATCACACGATATTAGTGGTCACCTCAACATCGGGGTCCCCACTCTCTAGTTTTAGTTTTTCAGAAAGTATATTATTATCAGCATATACCAACGCCCTACTGACTTATGCCTCTCACATGTGCTGTGAATTTAGTCGGTCTCATATTTAAAGTGACAATAATATACTACTTTGTGTCATTGTCTTGATTTTATTGCCATTAAATTATGTTTGACTTCATTACAAAATTATATAATGACCAAGTTGTTGTAATTAAGGAAGTAACATGACTGCATTACAATAAACAGTTCACATTAGAATAATGTACGCATGATCCATGGGATATGATTGACCTAGATCATCACTAACTCATTGGTAAGACATAGTATTTCCCAATAGATTCCTAATGGTATCTATTGGCGCTAGGATCTCTCATATCCTTCCTTTCTCGGTTAGACAAGGACATATCTTGGAACATCCACAAGTGTGCAGAACCCCCTTATTAATGTATATAAAAAAAGGTCCTGCCACATAGATAACTTAAGCAATTCATACAATAGGAATTTAAAACAATTTCCATATTATTCCCACACTTGAGAATACTAGGGAATATTCTCAAGTCCGTCCATTGATCCAAGTCCTAAGAGTAAAACTCACGAACTTTACTTCTCTTAAAGCCATAGCTACCTCCTTCCATACCTTCATCCTAACGGTACGTCATTCCAGCTCAGCATAGCCTTTCAATACAAGTTTGCTATCGTATTCAAAGTCGAGTATCGATAACGTGATCTCTTGGCTCGAGTATGTCTGATTTGATACATAGAATAAATATAATTACCTAGAAGACAATCAAGCAGTCAGGTCATTCGTATTCTCCTTCAAACTCTCGCTTCTTTATCTCATGCAGATCAAGTCAATATATAATCACCACCAAAACCATTCCTCAGTCATAAGCTGATTGCAAATCATATCAAGATTCGATATTCAAGTCTATTTCAAGTCACAAATATATTGCTAGAATGTTAGATATATGTTTGCATGAATTTAAGTTCTGCACGCGCCTTTTTGCTTGATATAGGTATGACCGCGAAACACACAACATATCGACCTGATACAACGTGACACCGAGATATATTCGTTCACAAGCAACTCTTTGCTATATCTCACCGTAAGTCTCGAGATGACCATTGGGACCGAAGCAGTAGCCTGGATTAAACCTTGAAGTTCTAAGGCTTCGTTAATCATTATGTAACCGAAAAAAATTCGTACATGTTATCCTTGAGAAAGTAGATTATGGTGAATTTAACGCCACACCTTTGGATAAGTGTCATGTTGTGTTTTTAAAAGCCTTTTTATAGCAGGACACCGTCAGATTCTTCATAAGTTCCTGGCTTCGTGCTTAATTTCTGATGATATTGCCGAAAGTACTGCCAGATATGGTGTTTCTGGCCAATGGTCGCGCGTTTTGAGCTCTTACTACATGATACCTTCTACTCCTTGCTTCTAGCATCTCTCAAGTGCCTCGGTATCAAACAGAATTTCAAAGGCGTGTATTTTGTTGAGAGAATAACTAGACACAGCATGAATGTTTTTTTTCAATCATTTAATTTGTATGCAGCTATCTAGCTATAACACATGACTGGTGCTATGTATACATGTGGGAAGACGCTTTTGACATTAGAGACACTCATACTCTGGATTTCATTCGCAAATACCACTATGAGGTATTTTCGCTTACACAAACAGTCAACTCTCCTCCATAAGTACCCACCAAAGGGAATTTCGAATCCTTTGGTTATCCAAGCATCCCTTCGTCATCCATGCATACCAGCGCCGCAAAAAATGTGGTTGTGTTTTGCCGGGTTTGAACCAGCGATCTACTGTCTCGAGTGGGATATGTGTCCAAGCTATCCAGACTCTACTTGGCAGACCGGCAAAAACGATGTACCACCACACCATCCAAGCATGGCGATGTTTATAGTGTCGCCTGCACTCTCGCAACCGAAGCCTTGGCACGCACAAAGCTCAATTTGTACAAACTCCTTGCCAAAATTCAAAATTCCACACCCGTCAAAGCTGTCTCTATCCTCTGTGCCATCTTGTGAACTTGTCCTGATCCCTCTCGCGCCCATCCCAAAGAACTGTCTCCCGGGTTTGCGCGCCACGCTTTGCTTCCTCCAGCGGGTGTAAATATCGGCGCGGTCGTGTATGGGTGACTAGCTGAGGCCAGAGAAAGTGGATGAGAGGTGTGATCATTGGAATGGGGATGTACTTTGTTTTGAAATTGGTGCTTCCAGTTATGGTAAAGACAGGGATGTGTAGAATACACGTCACTTATCTCCCATTAATTGTGAGGTTGGTATTCATGCGCTTTGACGTAAATACCAACCACTAGATTTTATTATTACAAAGTATAGTTTATACAGCACTATGTGTCCTAGCAGAAGTAGTTAACAACTCTCCACGACAGACTTATAGACTACTCTATTCCCCACTCGTTTCACCAAGTGATATAGCCTGAGCCCAACAGCCACAAGCTTTTGCAAACCTTTCTTCTGAACAATCTGGATTAATATTACGTGTCACGATAATATAGCTGATATAAAGCCGACCATAATCATTCTCCATTGATTTGATTTCCACAACAGTCGTAACGTTTCCTAGTGCTAGTAGTTCAAGTTGGTGTTGGTAATGATACCCTGGCTCCGTTTAAACCAATTGGAATTACTACCATTCGAACAACAGTTATCAACGGGTTAGTTAAGGCCTTGGAAATTGGATTGAAAAATTTGCGAATTAAACATAGACCCGATAACTTGAAGGTTTAAAGCTGGTATGTGCTCCATATGGTGTTTCGATACATTTTAATTTATATTCATCTATGTTGCCTGACTAGTGATGTGTACGTACTGGACTAATATTTTGACTAGAGTGACTCATACTCCGGATTTCATTGGCAAATACGACTATAGGGTATGTTGGTTCACGCAAACAATTGACCCACCAAAGGGACGTTTCAAAACCTTTAATTGTCCAAGCATACTTTCGTCATATATTTTCAGGAACTTCGGTTTGTCCTGCGGCACAAAACAAAAAACAAGTAGGGGGAGGTCTAGTAAAGAAGAGACGTTCGGAGCTATACACAGGTCTGTTGCGCTTATCTAGCTAGCCTCTTTGAGGGCTTCAAAAGGGTCGCTATGTCTTCGGATCTAGTCCTGATGTCGGTTTAAGGGGAACTCTAGAACCAGTGTTTTTGAAACTTTCCACTGCAGCAAAATACTCGAAAATGGCCATCTTTTCGTTGGCTGGAGAGGGGAGATGGAAGATGACAATAAGATAACGGCTCTTCTGAGTATGTAATTAAATCAAGGGCTATGAGATGATACCAATAGAATGAAGCCGTAAATGATTCATACAAACTCCGAGCTTAAAGCAAATTAGACCTACATGTCGTTACATAGTCATTGATTCAGCAGGTTTATAGACGCAAACGTGTAGGTACCTATGTTATCCAGGCTTGTCGATCCCAAGTTACCGAATCTTTCATCATGTTTGGAGAAACTAGTTTCTATTCTATAGAAATCCGTGATTGAACTTGAAATGAATTTTTATTATACAGGCAATCACGTATCGAGCGGCCTACCTAGTGTAGATTCTAAATACTCAATCTCTCTCCTGAAATTTTGAGATTCTTTCATGACGCAATTCAACGACACGACAAAGTAAAGCTGATCCGTACCTTGCTGTTAATTGTGTATCAATGGGCATGTTGGATATTAAATTACTTGTTAAAATTATTGTGAGATACTTGTCTCAACTAAAAGACGTAGGCTTATCCAGATCAAGTGAGCTATACACCGATCAAAAGAGTCTAGCCGTAAATAAGTCCGTAGTCAGTTAAGCGTCATCTGCTCATCTAATTTATACTAAGTATGTCAGAGTATTTTGTTTATCAAGTAGTTCTATGTTAAGGACGTATGACTCTTAAATCAATCGATATATTAACACAGTAGCTTGATCTTCGTGTTAATCGATTGATACTAGCTGACCAGTGCAGCATCCCGCAAATGTATGGCTTTAAATAGTTGCCTAAAATTTACATTGCCCAAGACCTATTTTTCCGTTCACTCGGACATATTTTGTTTCCATGACAGTGTCGGTAAACCAGAAATATTTTGTGCAATTCCCTTTTCATATCGTAAGTGTCTCGGGCCAATGAGGTACATTTTCATGGTTCCATACTTGAGCGAACAATATTGTAAGAGATGTCCATCACATCTCTTATTTGATTATTTAATCACAAAAGTTTTGTCGGCTGAGTAAATATGGCTTTAGAAAGTAGTACGTGGGTTTGGCTGCTGTACTGATGCGTCTCTATCACAAAACGCACGTCTACGTACCTTGTTTTATCCGCCTTGGAATTATTTTGATACCTCTAAACTATTAAACATAGAGATTTACTGAGATTTACTGAGATTTGGGTTTATATTTCGATAATACCAGTCAGTTCATGGTATGCCGATTTAAAGACCAAGTTCCAGAAAGAGGTCAAAAGATAGGCCCTCAGAGTGTGAATGCATTAAGAATCCCGTTATAATTCTTTAACCCAGACTTGTCTTTGAAGAGTTATGCGGATGGCGAATGGATAGTGGTGAAAGATGTGTTTCAATCTCTAGACACCGGCTTTTAGAAACAGGAGCCAGCAGACTTTATGAAATTCTATCATAGTTGCATTATCGTGATTGTTCCAGTTCAGAGATGCTCATCTACAGAAACGTGATAGCTGTGCATTAGTTTCTGCAGTCTGGTTCTAGCGCATTTTCGACATTAGAATATAAGAGAATCAGTCGGGCCAAGAGTGTAAATGCCCTGAACTCCATCGCTTCCACAAAGACAATATATTTTCCTTGCCAACATTTCTTAACAAGAAAACTATTCGAGCTGATCATTGGGGCTAGGTCACATCATATTTTTGGATTTAAGGCTTGTAGCCTATTACTTCTCTGTTGTCGTCAACCAGCCTACCATACCTTTTTTCGTTAGTAAAATTGAAAGCTACGGGTACAAGAACTTACTCTAATAGAAGTCTGAAAAACCAAGCTTCAAGATCTTCATTCCTCAGAATCTTGTCTGCCCATTCCTTTCCTTGAAGCGCTATTTTTTCTGCGTTTTTCTTACCTGGTGCTTCGCCAGCAAACCAGCGTACCGCTTCAATCCATTCGTCGCCCTTCAGGCTCATTGGAATATAGTGGAACCAAGGCTTTAGCCATTCATCGTGCCATTCTCTAAATATTGCAAGCTTATATATCAAACTTCTACTCTTTAGAAATGCATAGAATCTCCCGCTGAATGCATTTCCATCGACATCTATTAGATATTTGTATTTCCATGCAGTATTTTGTTTAGCCCAACCTTTAATGGAGAAAAATTCTTTTTGGGCATCGCAGTCAGCAGGATCGCATTGGTCCACATGTGTAAAGTGGACGTCAAAAAGCTCTTTAAAGTCACTCCTAGGTACTTCTTTGGTCTGCCAATCCTCGCTACTATCTTCACTCTTGTTCACCAGTATTTTTGCTCGGTCATTAGTATTTATTTTCTGCACCATTTGTTGTCGATGCTGTCGCCTCCAGCTGCCATCTCGACTGAAACCACCTGTAGTGGATCCACGCCAATACACTTGATCTTTCTTCTCAGCCCATGTAGGATCTATTGAGCTATCATAGGGAACCTTTCCAGACCAGTACCATGGGGATGGATAAAGTATATCGTTGAATGAAGAGATTTTAGACTGAGAAAACACAGGAATTAAATCCTGAGCAACATTGAAGGCATTAGGTCGATCGAAAAAGCCGTGTTTGTTACTGAAGCTTGGGGACTGACAAATGTCAGAATGTGCAGTTTGGTTATAAATAAATCCTAGTTCTCCCATCGCATAGTTTTTCAGATTATCGGCCATTTGGTTGTCTTCCAGTATTCTTGCTGGGCTATCTGGTGAGCAAGATATCCTTGAATGAGCCCAGGTTGGTTGGTGTGCGAAGACATTAAACCGCGTTCTTCTAACATCCTCAAAACGGCTTCCATCATTCATATCCACAGGCCTAGTAGACCACGAATTTATGGGCTCTAAAGTTGCATTAGCAACAGGTTTAGTTTGATTATCTGCAATAAAAATAAGCCGAGTTAAGTCTTCATATGGGACAAGAACCCGGGGTTCATCGTGGATGTTAAAGGCAAGGTCCATGTCCGGCAAATACTTGATAAAGCCATCCATCATCCCCTCTGTGGCCTCCATCTGCCATTCGCTACCCCCTGCAATTTTTTGTAGCTCCCCATTTCGTATAAGAGCGCCAATTAGGTTGTTAGCATCGAAACCTATAGCTTCCCGTGCTCTAGCTCTGATTGTGGCAGGTTTAAGTCCCCAAAATGGAGCTAGATTCTGCTGAATATTGTCATATTCGTCAATAAATCGTACGTTTCTAGCTTTTGCGAATTCGTACCACTTGTCAAAATTTGGTGGTGGGTGTATGCCATATCTTCTTCGATATTCTGTAACGGCCTCAGATAAGGACTGTGATTGTCTCGCTAATTTTTTTTTCCAGTCTTTCTCGTTATCTAGAATCAACTGCCAAATTGGATGCGAGGAATTTTTTACTGGAGTTGGTTCAGTGTTTGTTGCAGTTGCTGGTAATGTTTTAACTGGGGCTATAGGTTTATTGATTGACTGCTGAAGGTCTGGCTGTAGTGATTGTAGGTTTAGCCTAGGCCGATTGTAAGTGAACAACAAAAAGATGAATAGTAGTGCGCATATCAGCATGTAAGATTGACGTGATCTCATTCTTGCCTGCCCAATGAGCGAGTTGAATATCAAACGTTACAATAGTCGTGATAACGTTGATCTTGCATTGGGCATATCACAGTGGCAAATGAGACGGGCGATATACTATCTATAAGTAAGCACGAATCAGTGGTTGACCTAACCTTTCTAGGATGTCGTGGGTCTTAACAAGGGTGATGCAATTTTAGACAACGCAAGCGGATAACTTTTTGGGAAACTCCGCCAAACATAAAGTAAATATTTAATTATTATTAGCAGAGCCCCCCGCGAACCCTCATCTTTCTTCGAGGAGTCTGCAAGGTCAAGATTAAATCTTGTGGACTTGTGTTTTTGAACAGGGCCAGTATATTCTTACCCAAATGCTCGTTTCAAATGATCTCTACAACGAGCGTAACGTCGTCAATGACTTTGGGCAAGGAGACATATGATGGTAAAAAATACAGAAAGAGTATTTAGATAGACCCCCACTTCACTTCAATACTTGTTACCCACTGGCAGGGGATAAAAAATTCACGGCAGCAAAAAGGTAGACTATTTAGACCCCAGGTAGGACAAAATTGATTCCTCACAGTTACCAAGCATCGATTCTCCACTTCCCGTTTTTTAGCCATAGATATTTCTATAAATTTGTATTAATCTCGAGGCCCACATCTGCAGCGATTCGTGAAGGCCGAGTTGATCTATGCAGTGTTTGACCCCAACTAAGATTTTTCTAACATCTCATCAGAACCCTTGGCTTGTTCTGTTGCACCAATTAAGAGAGTGATTAAAAATATGACAAGAAGGAAAACGGTCACTTTTAGATATGTACAAGGTCATTATACCTGGCCGTACTACCTTTTGAAGATTTCAGAAGCTCAAATATGTTGTGGCATTTAATCCCAATGTTGATGCTAGTCAAGCCCCGCACTCAGTTATTTTCTAAATAATATTGTTAGCCGCTACATACTGGCAAACATTCTTTGCCTGGGTACCTACATAAGAAAGATATGTGGAGAATCATTTCTTTGAGTGCGTACTAAAATGAAGACCTGTCTTGATGCTAGCGCAAGATAGAGAACTTGAACGATGCGAATTAGATCGCACAATTACAAGAGCTTAGATACTTCTATCCTGAAGACGAAAATGTCCTTCATTTCGTGAGATTCTCATAGACTGGAAAAGTGTAAAAAAATGGAGACAGCCAAATTATTGTAATCAAATTTAAAATCAGGGCCGATGCCGATGATACGAACTTCTAATTTTTACAGATGAAATGTGGTTTATTAGGAACCCTACAGCTCCGCCTTCGTGATTTAGACGCGCGTTCATCATTTTCCTATTCTTTCAAGGTGCGCTAGCGGAATCAAGTCTGGTAATTTAGATGTCAAAAGAGACCCGGCTCATTAAAGTAGTTCTATCTTGAGCCTAGATTATAATTCTTGACACATTCTTGGGTCTGTTCATCAATACCTCAAATTTTTTTATTCATTTCTTGGAATTTCTTGGAACATCTATCATTTCTTCGCCTGTCCATGGAAGTAACGATTAAATAATTCATGATTGTAGGAATATGTTCGCATTGATACCAAGACCTCTAAAATGTTAAACCCTTTTTCATGCAGACGCACTTTTAGCTCAATGTATTCGTTACCAATTCATACAATGTCGACTTAGACCTTACAAAGTCGTAAACGGGGCAAAACGGGGTCTCAACTACAGTTCTTTCGTATTAAAGTTTTATTTTGTAACTGTAGGCGCCAAGTAGTTTGCAATTTCCGCACTCCTTCAGGACCTAACAAGAGCGGGACCTGGCTAGGATAGATTGACTTTCATTAGCATTTGAGCCTCGTCATATCTAAATTACAAGACCATCTAGGGCTTCATTTGCGTGTTGATTAACGCCAAGTGAGGTGGACATGAGATTCAAATGTGTATGCATCAAAGAGAAAAACCTAATGTTGACTACAATGAGCCCGAAGTACGGCCAGGGCTGCACACTTTTCTGTGATAAGCTCCATGAACATTGAGTAAAATATCCCCTCAAAGGTATTGTTGGTATAACAGGGTCAATCTTGGTGGTATCACAGGGGGACTATTCTCAACACCTGTCAGTGGTGTCCCCTACGAGTCTCCAGCTGTCACTGTAGAGTCTGCAGAGCCGAGATTGAGTAACAAAATTCCTCACTTCGACGAGGATTCCCAATCGCTTGCGCGGTCTGTATCGTCTTCATCTCTCATCACATTCCTCTGTTACCATTATCATGAAGCTGACCACGATCAGATCAGATGGTAGGGTCGGAGCCCTACTCATCACCAATCCTTGATCATAGTGGAGATACCATCCGATGAGTTTCTGGAGCGTACCCAGCACCCGATACGGCGATGGTGGATTGGAACAGGTCGGACTCGACTGTTACAAAGACTGGAGATATAGACGAATATGTGCACTTCATGTAGTCCCGGTGTCTAGACCTCGCCTGGCTGGGGCTGCAGGTTTTTTGAGACTTTTTCCCGCGGGGCGCAATTTCCATTGCTACCACTTTTTTTTGGGTTAGAATGTTCCGTGGAAAAGGTAGCCGAATTCCACGGACAAACACTGAGCTGAATGGCTATTCATCAAGGGGAATATATCAATGATCTTTCAAGTAACAAAAGAGGTTAGGAGGACTGTACAAGGTGTGGCCTGGGTCAGAGAGGATCCCAATGTGCTAGATAGCCATAGACTCAAGCAAGACAATAAACATACACAGTTACTTACTCACTTTGTAGTATCACAGATGGTGAGCATGGGTTTGCTACTGCAGATGTGGCGGCTGATTAAGATGTACATACCTAGAATTCACGCAGGTAGCAGAAGCATCAAAAATAACTGTATCCACTTGTATGCCTAAGGCCTAGAATCGACCGCAGGCCTACCTGATCATTTGCTGCTACAGTTATGATTCAGTCACGATAAGATGTGGACTCCAGAGGCCATGATAAGTGATGGTTGTGAGAAATGGCGCTGTCTCATTTCTGTTAGAGACTCTAAGGGGGACGGTATTCGACACCTGTCAGTGATATCCCCTCCGAACTTCCAGATCTCACTGAAGAGTCTACAGAGCCGAGATTGAGTAACAACTTTTTAGCTTTGAGCTGAGTTATCTCCTTCTCCCTCAAATATACACTCCCGTTAATAAATTAGAGGACCAAGATGACAATAATGATGCTTGGAACGAGGAAAGAAAATGCGGTATCAAACGCTACAACGGTAGTCAGAGAAGCCCTCGTTATAATATAACGTGTGCTACCCACCAGCGGGTATATAAAAAAATCACGAGAGCAAAGTGGAAGGTTCTTCCGCCCTCAAGAAAAGCAGATTTCGACTCGTTAACAATATCGTCCCTTCTAATCTATACCTCCGAATCTACTAGCCAAGAGGGCATCTGAAATACATGAGTTACCCGGCGATCTCACGTCCGTAACGATTTTTGGATGCTAGGCTAGGCTCCTTCACGACAGTCACTCTCGACCAAGACTTTTCTGAAATCCTTTCACGACTTTTGGTATGTCCTGCGGCATGAATCGGGGAAGGAGTAAGGAGAGGGCCAGGAGGGTTGAGAGACACTCTTAGGTATACAAAGATCTTCTGCGCCCGGCTGATCGGCTTCTTCGTATTTGAAAGCCCCGCACCAAGTGGTTTTCGAGACTTTTTCTGCAGCTGCACACCCGTATATGATCATCTTTATGTTGGCAGGATAGAGGAGATAGTGACGGGATAAAGGTCCTTCCTAGTTTTAACTCGAATGAAGACCTGTGGAGATATTACTGCTGGAAAGAAGTCGTGATGGAGGCACAGGAGGGATTACATTACCCGAGGCATGTATATTCACGGCCTGTGGGCAGAGATGACCTGTATGTCCTTACATAGTCATAGACTCACTAGGACAAGAAATATTTACTCAATCGAAATTCTGATTCGTAAAGGAATCACAACCGTAAAAACCACAAAAAAGTTCGATATTTTATAATTTTCGTATCATAACAAATAATACCGTCTAAGATCTATTATCTCTTGGAAGATACTGGACTACCAAAATCACCTCAAAAGCTTACGTAGCACTCCAAATTTCGAACTGCCAAAATAAATATTCAAGATGTAAGAGGATATCTAACTCTACACAACAGCCTCGTGTTGCGAAAGTAAAGTTGCTGTTATGGCCCTTAATGCGTCTATAACTCGCTTAAGTACACTAAAAACCTGACCCGCGACTAATCGTCACCTATTTAGTGGGCACAAAATCTCACAGAAATATCAACCAAAGAAATAGACAAAAGATAGGGCATCATTGCTTAAGTCTCAAGCTCTTGCTCGTGTATATGGCCTTTATGGTTATGAGTACAGTAGTGACGGTACAAGGCTGAATGTATGGTAATTTCTTAGATTGTTCAAGAAAAATTGGAGGGAGGCAAAGTAAAGGCTACTGTGGAGGACTGAAAGTATTAAAAACCATGAAGGTCGCGTTGGACGAATGGATAAGATATCCAGTGAATAAAATAACCGTGAATGATGAAAATGGATTTTTGGATGAGGAAAAGCTGGGAAGAAAAGGAAAGAAATAATTAGATAATAGAAAGGTATCATGGACTCGGGCGTATGGTGTTGTAGTTCTGCATCACGTGCAAGTTTGTTAGCGTGCAGGCGTTCTTTCAATACTGCGTCCAGTCTCAATGTTACATAGCCGGCAAAGACGAATTCTTCACCTTCCAGTGGTGCCGGTGTAATCGCTCAGTATGCTCTGCATATCTGGGATAGCCAAGAAGAATCGCATCCAAATGGACGTCGAAAGCACTCGCAAGCACATCTAAAATCGACGACTCATCGTTAATGTCCGACCTATCATTCTCACGCGAGTCCTACACCTCAATATTACCACAACACCTCGCCTCAAATACCGATAATGGCGTTACTCCAATTGCAATTGGGCATTTGCCTCATAAAAAGCCGACCATCTCCCACTACACACTTACGATGCTTT